AAAAAAAAAAAAAAAAGTGATAGTCTACTCAAGTAACAAGCCAAAGCAGTCATCAGCTAAGAAGAGTTAAAGTTCTAATCCTTGTACATTCATACACAGAGTCTTTATACAAATAGTCATGTACATTTTTATCCAGAATTGTCCCCCAGAAATCCATACCTTTTTCTTTGTTACCCTTAGGGAAATTATTCTTGGACAATGGATTAAAATTGGGATGTAATATCTAAATTATATTTATAAAAGCAGAAATACCTAAATAATGAGTCTGGGGTCAAGTGAGAGGTGGGCATGGATTACTACTCTATATAGGAATAGTTTATAATCTGATCAGCAGAGTGACAGCGCTAAACGAGCTCTGAAAGTTGGCTCTACTGATAACACCCAGTGTTGACACACACTTCTTTGTTCTAGAATCCTTTGTCAACGGTATGCATGAGTACACTAAAAAAGAACCCCCAGAAGGAAGAAAAGTAAAAGCTGAGTTCTTGCCATGAGTAGATTCTGTGCAGCCCCCAGCCTCTGCAAATCCAGCATAGGGTGCAAAGTGTCCTGGCATGGCCATGTCCAAGCCGGAAAAGTAAGGCAGGCTTGGCCAGGGCCCAGGATGAGGCAGGCTGGTGGGGCGGTGATGGGAGAGAGACCAGATTGATTGATTCATTCTTTTGAGGAGCACTTATGATTCCCTGAGGGGTCACTGTGGGGGAGCTGACCCTCACCACAGAGGCCACCCCTTTCTCCAGGTGGCCACCGTTGATATAAGGCCTGGTCTGTGCTCTTTCCCCCAGGGCCACTTTCCTCCAGACCTCTTGCCTCCTGGCAGGGAGGAGGGCAGGGCTGGGTTTCTTCCTCATGCTCTTCACTGTCAGAATCAGACTCGTCGTTGTAGAAGTGAATTGTGGCTTGCACAGGGAAACTGGCCAGCACTTTCTCCCCCGAACTCTGCAGGTATTCTTGACGTTTTGAAGCAGGTAGATAAAGTCTAATAGTTAAGAAACAAATACACCATTAATCAACCTGAAAACAGTTCCCAACTCCTTCTTGAAGATCCTCTTCCCCAGAAAGAGCCACATCCCCAATCAGTGTTTTCCTGTCACCAGAACTCGGGACCGGGGGCACCTAATGAGAGAACTGATGACAAACCCCATCCCAGTTCTGGAGTGCGCTGTGACCTGAACCAGCAAATCCAGAATAGAGAAGACGTGCTTCGGGGTAAAAAAACACAAAGGAAAAAAGAAAAAAGCCTAAATATATATAATTTGGAGCCCCTGACTTTCAGGTCTTATAAAATTTAGGATCCCATAATACTTGGAAAGTATTTAAAATATTCGCCCTTCCCCATAATCCCTTGTCCCATACTTTTCATTCACTGATTTTTTTTTTTTTTTTTGGAGACAGAGCCTCAAGCTGTCCCCCTGGGTAGAGTGCCGTGGCATCACAGCTCACAGCAACCTCCAACTCCTGGGCTCAAGCGAGTCTCCTGCCTCAGCCTCCCAAGTAGCTGGGACCACAGGCGCCCGCCACAACGCCTGGCTGTTTTTTTGGTTGCAGCCATCATTGTTGTTTGGCGGGCCCAGGCTGGATTTGAATCTACCACCTTAGGTGTATGTGGCTGGAACCTTAGCCACTTGAGCCACAGGCGCCAAACCTCATTCATTGATTTGATTTGCATTTTTCCCTGTGGTCTTCTGCGGAAATGACAGGGTTTGTCAAACAAGCACTACGTATTTGCAAACCTGATTATTATTATTATTTTTTTGAGACAGACTCACTATGTCGCCCTCGGTATAGTGCTGTGGCATTGCAACTCACAGCAACCTCAAACTCTTGGGCTTAAGTGATTCTCTTGCCTCAGCCTCCCAAGTAGTTGGGACTACAGGTGCCTACCACAATGCCTAGCTACTTTTTTGTTGCAGTTGTCATTGTTGTTTAGCTGGCTGGGCTGGGTTTGAACCTGCCAGCCTGGGTGTATGTGGCTGGCTCCCTACCCACTGAGCTATGGGCACCACCTTGCAAATCTGATTTCAATATCCCCTTTTTGGTATAGATGAGGAAAGTAGGGCAGCACCTGTGGCTCAGTGAGTAGAGTGCAGGCCCCATATACGGAGGGTGGAGACTTTGAACCCGGCCCTGGCCAAATTGCAACAAAAAATAGCCGGGTGTTGTGGTGGGCACCTGTGTTCCCAGCTACTCGGGAGGCTGAGGCAAGAGAATCACCTAAGCCCAGGAGCTGGAGGTTGCTGTGAGCTGTGACACCACAGCACCCCACTGAGGGTGACAAAATGAGAATCTGTCTCAAAAAAAAAAAAAAGAAGAGGAAAGTGAAAGAGAAAATACCTTCCTATAAATAATGCTTAACAAATGTTTTATTTCCTAAGATTTCCAGTAATCCAGCGGTTCTCAACCACTGGGGGACATTTGGCAACGTCTGGAGATTTTTTTGTGATTGACACAACGGAGAGGAAGGTGCTGGCATTTAGTGGGTAGAGGCCAGGAATGCTAGCAAACCTTCTAAAATGCATGGGATGGCCCCCACGACAAACAGTTATCCAGCCCAAAGTGTCAATAGTGCCAACACCGAGAAATCCCGCAATAGA